CTCCACCCCCCACCCTGCCTCCCCCCAGGAAATAGCAAAATGTCTTCAGGACAAGTTTGGCAATCTGTTGTTATTGCTCTTTTTCTTAGTGTTAGTATTTTACTTATGAATATGTTTATCACTATCTTGCTAGCTCAGGTATATATTTAGACAATTAGGCTTTTATAAAAAAACAACAAAAAATTCTTTTCTGTATCCATCTCTTTAGGTACTCATTACTGGGAATTTCCCAAGGTTATTTAATTATAATATTATTATATTTCTGTAGAGCAAAGTCGGAGGTAGATCGATTTTTGAGGTGTGGCTGACGAGTAAAAATCGTATCTATTTAAGGTATATAATGTGATGTTTTGACAGACATTTACATCGTGACCATTTTTAAATGTAGACACCGAGGCATCATCTAGAAACGTTAGATTTACTATGGAACAGGTGTGCACACATTGCTGACTTTTCTTCACCCACACCAAGCTGCAAGCCTGCAGGTGATCTCCGTCATACCCACTTTCATTTCGTAAAGCAGACTGGAGTGGAGAACGGGGCATAGAAAAATGTGACTGTTTTCAAATTTGTTAGAAAATAAGAAAAGTACCAAACCAGGTTACTTTGATCCATCCATAGAGCCTACATTTTTTTCATCGAATTTTAGTGGAGTACAAAAATGGCATTTCTTCATATAATTTTTCTTCCCTAGAGTTGCCAGCATAACTACTATGAGGACGCAAAAGCCTATGGATTCAAAAATAAACTAATTATAGTTGCAGCTGAAACAGCTGGAAATGGATTGTATAATTTTATTGTTCCTCTCAGGGCATATTATAGACCAAAGAAAGAACTTAACCCCATAGTACTACTCTTGGATAACCCGTAAGTATATTTCAAAATAAACCAACAAGAGTTTTTAATATGTCAGAAATTATTTTCATTTGCTTAAAATATTTTAAATCAGATACATTATGGCACGTGATTCATTGGGAGGTCTATTCTGTGCTATGTTACAGAACAATTATTGACTATGGTTATATTTCACAAATGCTACTTAAAACATCACTGGAAAAGCCTGAGCTTCTTTAAAAAACCTTGTCATAAGTGGTCATCAATACCAGTGGGAAACATGCCGCTAAAATAATTACAGTTATTTTCCTGAAATTAACCAATAGCCTGAAAAATATCTGCCAAAACTGGATACTTCTGTTGTCTTTCTAAAGAACCATTATCAGAGAAGCATATTAATGTTCCATTTTTCGCTGTTGTACCATGATGCCTCATCATAAGTCATGATTCTTCCACTGTTAAAACATATATTTTACAACAGGAATAACTAATGCTTTACTGTGTTCATTAATTTTAAAAATGTTAGCTCGATACACTTGTGAAATTAGATCAAGCATTTCGCAATCCTTATGCAAATATAAATATAGGTCAATGAATGCTATGGTCAAATCCATTGGATCCTAAAATTAGAATATTGCTCCCTGGGACTCGAAATTAGGAGCAGATGGTCCTTAGATCAATATCAGATTTTAGAATCCTCCAACTCTCCTCTTACATTCTAAAGTGATGCACATTGCAAGATAAACTAGATGAGGCCAGAATCTGTTGCCTTGTCT